TGGGGCACCATGCATGTGTCAATAATAGTCCATTTGAATATGGCATTTCTGAATTAACCATGTGTTTGCAGTCAACTATGTGTGAGCAGCCACCCACAAACCCTGGCCAGCTATAATCCACGTGTTATAGCTGAGATATGACATGCAATTGCAAGGAATCTGGGAATCGGGGGAGCCATTGCCAGGAATCTGGGAAGCGGGAGAGGGGCAATGGTAGAGTGGTTAGGGCGCTAGGCTCTGGGCCTGTCACTCCCTGGTTCGGGTCTCTGCCACACCACCAACGCATCCCACATGTACCGAGTAAAGGCATCCCGTCTCGAGATGGCGCTGGCAGTTGGTGAGATGTTGAGCCCCAAAACGCTGAAATTCTGGGAGGCGGCTCGCGTTTACAAAATGCAAGATGTTTTGTAAAGGCAAGACTTGTACGAAACATTAGGGGACATTGCGATTGAATGAAAGACCCGATCCGACCCGGCCCTGCGCAATGACTTTATCATTGCATGGAGTGATTTCCTTCTTACACCCATAATGTCAAGTGCATTAGAGATTTGGAATTCTGCTATGCGTTCCCCTCGCCACGCGTCTCAAGATGTCTTGTTGGTGATTGCGTGTCCAACTAAAACACAAGATTTCAGGAATTTCCCAGAGGTCATGCCTCTATATCGCTGATTCAATGTGTCGAGCGTTTTGTTGCAAGACTAATATATTCTGCCGTATCCTGCGCCAGGGAATCCATCAGCATTCATCAGGTCTCTTCTGAGGACGTCACTTGGGGGGCTTAAGAGTTTGCCATGCGATAGCTCATCTCGAGCCGCTCAGAGTTTCAAAGTTCATAATCATTGCACGAATATTAAGCCCGGAAGAAGTCAGAGTAGCTTAGTCCACCAACGAAGATAGCACCACGGGTTCATCGTCAAATGAGGCATGAAGTTTCCAACTGCCGAACTTCGTCATGCAGCACGGAACTTAAAAGTCTTCTTTACAGCAGACGAAATGACTGTGCCATTGTTTTAAAGTTGCATCGTCGTTAACTCTCAACTGTGGAATGATTGAGTGCTTCAATTTCATTGTCGTCGTTCACTCCCGAGGACCGTTTTAGACGGTTTGCCTTCTACGTAGCGCTGTGATATAAGATGAAGCGTAGAACAGCGTAGAAAATAGACGCAGCCGACAGCGTAGCGGCATGCGATATGTGCAATGGTAACACAGATTGCAACAAACAAACAACAGATTGCTCTTTTATTTATGCCAACCAGGCGACTTTCCTTTACCCCCATTGCATATTCGAGAACTGTTTGATTTGCTTTTTTTAAAACTGCCACTTATTTGCCCAGCGAACAGTGTGAGGGTCCTCTAAGCCGTGCTTGTCGCCCTGTTGGCGCGTCTGCTGCAGCTCGGCGCGGTCACGGACGGGCGAGGAGAGCTGCCAGCCCGCCGGACCCGAAGCTGCAGCGGCGCAGTCTATACCGCTCGCCGGGATAGCGTCCTGTCCAGTCGCTGCAGTCTTCCCGCGGAGCGCCGCGCCGCCGGCCGGTGTTTCAGACATGCATTCAGCAGCGAGCGTTGCGACATGTTTGGCGCCAGAAGTCGCATCGTTAGAACTAAGCTTCCTGCCGAACAGTTGTAACTGGTGGCAGCGCGCACTCAAGGTTTGCATAAGCGGATGTCGTTTCCAACAGACCCCATTCATCATCATCACAAACCATTTACTGGAACAAAGGTACAGCTCATGCAAATAGGACCCCAAGAGGCTTGAAGTTGCAAACCGCCTCGGCACATGAGTCTCACGGTCCGCTCTAGCAGAGTCGCGCATTTGAGACCGCGGCGGGAGCCTTTCCAAGGGTCAAATCTCACTCATCCGATGGCACCACCGGTTCCTCTGTGCAGCGTTGGGTGACGCTGCACCACGGGTAGCATCGTAGTACGCTGATGCCCAGCCGCTCACAGCTCAACCCGGCGATAAACTCTCGCAGTTTTGCAGGCTGTTGCAACGAAGCTTGGGGCCGCACAGAGCCAGCTGCTCGGCGTCGCAGCCCACCTGGCGTACGTCAGCTGAGGCCACGCCAGCCGCCCAGCTGCCTCCCAGACGCTGCCGCGGGACGTGGCCGAGGGTCCCGGAACAGCTCACGCGCTCCAGGCGCTTCACTCCCATCTGGCGCCGCCCTCGGGCGCCGCTGGCGTCGGTCGCTCTCGCGCGTGACCCAGGGGTCAGCCCCGGGCGGTGTCGCCGGCCGCGCCGCGCAGAGGACGCCACACGATTGATGAGCCGACTCCGAGCTGTCATTACGCGGCGCAGTATGTAAACGCGCGCCGAAGAGCAGCCGGTGTGGCCGTCAACAAGCTGTTATTTCCGTGCTGCGCTGGCGGCGGCGACGGCGGCGGCGGCGGCGGCGGCGGCGGCGGCCGAGAGGTCGGCCCGCCGCCGCCGCCCGCTCCGTCTCGGCGGCCGAGCCCGGCCAGCCGTCGACAACGGCCGGCCAGTAATTGCCGTCCGCAGTGCGTAATCGGTCGGGTGAGGCCCGGGTGGGCCCATCTCGGCACAGATGAGCCAGCAGGCCGCGCTGACGGACGGGCGCGCCGCTCTGCGTCCGTCAGCTGGCGCCGGCGCCAGCGGCGCCAGGCGCCAGCGGCTGGGTGACGCCCGGCCGTGATTACCGGCCCTAGGGCATGCGCTGCGCCCGGGCCTCGTTAACACTGGACGCCATTTGGACCGAGATGAGCTCATTTGCCGCGCTTGTTCTGGCGTTCAGGCGTTGACCACGTGAGGAGAGGCACTGGAACGAGGACGTTCAGAGCAGGCTTGTTTGCTCGCTGTTCTTGGTGACGCAGCCGTTAGCAAGAGCTTCTTCGTCGTTTTCCAGGGGCGAAGAAAGGATTTGCATAAAGTTCCACTTTCGCTTGAGCTACCGCGCCCAGTTTTTGTCAGCATTGGAGCGTCCGCCGTGCGCGGCGTCTTCGGCTCTGTCCAAGAGGCATCCCATCTGTACTCCACTGGTGGAAGTGAATGCTGCTCGGCCTTACGCATTCCCTCACGCATTCTCACAGCGACGCACGAGCTCCTTCCATAACACTGAAAAACAAGATGGCTCTCTTGCATTGGCGCTATAGACCCACCCATTTGTTTTACATCGCTGAGCTGTCCGGGTGTGTCTTTCAAGCCGGTAATAAAAGCTTTCGAGCAAAATTCCTTTCTCTAAGCCACATCACCATGCAGCTCACCCCACTCAACAAACCAATCGCATTTTAGCGCGTAACGCAGCAGATACTCCGCCCGACAGCGTCACATCACATTATTGACTTCTAAACTAGACGTACCGCCTCTGCCGCCTACCGCCTTTGGAACCCTCCCGGAGCGGCAGCCGTCACACCAATCCTTCCCAAGCGCGTCTGCTCCCCCGCCGCTCCACATCGGCCCATGTTTGGCGCCCCCCTCCGCCCGACTCCGGCCCGCCCGCGCGACCGCCGCCGTCCGCTGGTGTCTCTGGCCGCCCCCCGCTCCATCACTGTCCCGTAATGGGACCGCCGGCGGGCCGGGCGCGGCGGGACGGCCCGCGGCCGCGTGTCCCACTATTGTCCCCTTTGTGGACCGGCGGCGCTCCAGCGCACGGCCCAAAACAAGGTGACAAAAAGCGGGCCGGCCTGTTTGGACGGGCGGGTGAGGACCGGGCACGACCGCCTTCGGCGCGCACCGGGATCAATGGTGAGCCGGTGTCGGCCACGGGCGCCTCACGGCAAGCGACCGCTAATGGATTTACGACCGCCGCCGTGGCCGGGCGGCTCTGAGCCCGGCTTCACCGGCGCCGGTCTCGTGCGGCGAGGGCGCGCCGCGTGCATGGCGCAGGCGGAGGGAGTGTGGACGCTTCGTCTTGGCGGGGTGCGGAGCATTAAGATGGTGAGCAGAGGAGCTGTTAATCTCTGCTGGTAGCGGAGAAAAGGTGGCAAGACACGGCCATGGAATTCATACGATATGAGCCTCCCGCTGTGGTCGCGTCGTCACATTCCATTGAAGAATTCGACCAAATCTTTTTTAACGCACACTACCGCTTGTACTGCGTGGTACGTCGATGTTAAAAGCTTACTTCAGCGAGATCACAATGACGGGCGCTGAAAAAGGGCCCCGTCCACATTCGTGACCACTGTCCATAATTCCACGAGTTAGTGTGGTGTAAAGCTGCGGCTCCTTCTCCAATTGCATCTGAATACCATTGAAATACCTTTGCACGTCCTAGCCCCGCCATTACAGACGTTTAAAGCGGCTTGCAGGCATGGAAGCCAATTCGGCGCTCTTGTCATGCAGCAGTTCGAACAGGCTCCTCCGGCGTCATTGATCCAAAGCACGCGCTGCCCACCGAGGCGAAAAATATCCGCACCGCCCGGAGCACCGCGCGGCGGACGCAAGTTCTCCCGTGCAGATAGCCTTCGCGCCCGGAGGCGCCCTGCAGTAGCCCGGCGCTGCCCGGAGCAGGAGCGGGCAGCCTCTGCTGCCCGTAGCGCAGACGAGGTGGCGAGCGGCGATTAGCGGCGCTGGGCTGGCGCCGCCAGATGCTGTGGCCGGCGCCGCCGCGGCGCCCGTGAGCGGCGACGGGGCGTGCGAGTGGACCGGAAGATTGGCCGAATTCACGCCCGGCCCGCTGGGAGCTCGGCCACGTCGCCGCCGCTACAGATTGAAGGAGGCGGCTTTGTTCGACGTGTTGACGGCAGGACGCGGCAACAATGCACCGACTCGGAGAGACGAGCGGCGGAAATTGGCGCAAGTCGCGCGGGCCCGCGCGTGTTGACTCCGTGGAGGTGCCGGGGTTGCGGCAGATCCCGCCGCGACACGGCGCCCCGTCGGCCGGGCCCGCGGTGATAAGCAGCACGGTCAGCTAACGAGCCCCGCAGCACGCGCGTGCCGAGTCGGGCAGATGACGCGCGCGATAACTGACGGCGATACCATCCTGCGCGACGGGGAGCGGCACGACACGGCGCTCGCATGCAAACGGTGTCCTCCTTGGACTCACCTGAGACGGACGAGGTCCACAGCACGAGCGTCACCAGGCAGACGGCTCGGGTCACCTCCATGGCCCTTGACGAGGCACTCGGGCTTCTTCGCGCTGCTGCCGGTGGCCGGCTCCGAGCGCCACTGGCCGACGCGCGGCGCTCTACACACTCCAACCCACTCCTCCGGAGCGCGGGGGACAACTGCATTCGGCGCCGCCGCCGCCGTCGCAGACGTCCCGAGCCTGCCGTCGCCCGCCGCAGAGCGGCAGCACCGTCGCTGGAGGATTGGAACTGAAGAGGTTTTGCGTATTACGCACGGCGCATCGTCGACAACGCGGCGAATACCCGCTGCATTAATAACGGAAGTTGGTCTCAAACAAAGGATCGCGACCGGCCGTGGACAGTCGGCTATTGTCCTGCTGCGAAGCGTACTTGATGATTTGCCAACTGTGATTGAAAACGGAGCTCGCGGAGGGGCCGTGGGAGGGGGAAGGGGGCGCAACAGCATCACCGACAGCAGGCAGCAAGCTGGGATGGGTTAGGCGGCGTACACTTGGAGCACCATCTGTTTCTAATGAGATATCGGGCTGCTGTTTCTGTCACCGTTTCCGACCCTGTAATCTTAAATATATTGCCGGCCTTTGTCAATAAGCTTTGTTGCATAATCTCGATGTTCCTTGTGGCTCTCTGTTGGCCTGATGTCTTTATGCCTCTATGTCGTTATGTGCTGGTAGTCATACATGCTATTTTGATCTCACAGACAGCCGTACAGGCATCGTTTCACAGTTTGTACAATTAATGAGAAGAAATAATGGTACCTTAGGAGAATATACGCTATTTGATTATCGCAGCTATATCAGGGGCTCTATCCAGGTTCAGTGATAAGCAATACATAAATGAATGGCTAAATTTGGGAAAGACAGGATATCTGTGACTCTCTTCCCGTGCCATTCCCTCCCTATCTGATCCGTGGCATAGCGTGTAAGAAATTTTGTATGAAGTGTGGTGTCTTTTGAGCCTTTCACTGCAAAAGAGCGGCGTACATATGAACGCACTAAACAGCCGAGACGTTAGCCAATATAAGCAAGAGATGAACTACCAAGAGAGCTGTAAATAGCTGCCCGAACATAGTATATTTTATGTCTAGCATGCTTGAATGACGACAGGTGAGACGGATTACTTTGGGAAACATTTAATTTTTGCTGAACTGGACAGGAGCTCATGTGGAGTGAGTGTCAAAGGATAAAGGGTAAAGGTTAAAGGACTAGATCGAACATGTATGGCTTGGGATATCAGCTGTGGATGTGCTAATATGAGCGATAGGATTGTTCCAAGCCGGGCTTATGTTCACTCGTGAGTGCACAGACCCAGCTTGAAACGTCGAAACTTGTCAGAAAGCGTAGTCATAAAACATTGAAACGTCGAATTTACTCTTGAGCATGAAGCGTCGAGCACTGGCAATACACGAAGGCAACCCAGCATGAAGCGTCGAGTACTGGCAATGCAACTACTGTTTGCACTATAACGTTGTTTGGCACGCGCCCGGGCGGCCTGTTGGAAACCCTTCGCTCGGACGGAAGGTCAGTTTGACTCCCATGAGATTTCAGGAGCTAACAGAGCTAGAGACACCAAGTTTACAGGGTGTGTTGGCCTGTACGTGAAATCACTTAGGTCAACGTGTCAGGTTCCTAGATAATGAAATCAGGTCAAATGAGGTTAAACGGCTCAAACTACAGGCTGTTCTCTAAAGTGCCCCAGAACCTAGATACATGTTCCAAGCAAAAGTTCACATGCTCTTTAAGGTCAGTGATGTAGTTTGACCTTTCGAAAGTCAATGTGACTAGAATTATACTTCTAAAACAAAATGTTGTCCTGAGTCACTTTAGGTCAGTGACCTATTCTGACCTTTAGAAATTCCGTGGAAGATGTTTAATGCAGTTCCTGTTATCAATCAATTCAAAGTGAGCACCGGAAACTGCACCATACAGCAAGTCCTAGAATTATAGATCAGGTTGGTTTTGAGCTTAGTCTGACCTTAATACCTGGCCCTAGGTCACTGTTATCTGTTCATTCAATTGTTGTGTTGCCTCAGAAAGCGTATCAGTGATTAATGGCTTCGTCTAACACTCCGTTGATGCATCATATTGAATGATTCCTAGAAACTCACTTCGCTGAATCCATGGCCTGACTTGGACCTGCTGTAGGTCGGCGACCTTACAAGGTACTTCTAAATTTTTGGTACCGAACGATCTGTTATTCAATTGTCTGCAGCTACGCATAATTTGGCGCGGCTACATCGCGCAATCAATGGCGTCAATTTGATCCCCCACCCGGGCGCGTATTAATCCGTGCCTCCTGGTATATTGAAAGTCAATAACTTAGCACAATACCTCAGAACACTACAACAGATATTATACAAATTGATTAAATTGGATATTATACTGAAAATGCGTTCTATGATGAAGAGGTCTACTACGCACTTCCAGCGTAAAACAGCACCTGTGGATACGTGCGACAGCGTTTAGTGTCCGAGGTTAAGGGTTGTACTGTACGAAATGTGCTTGCTCGAAACATACACGTCTCGCGAGTACGCCACCAATAGCAATAAGTCTCCCTTTACCTTCCATAATCAACCAAGGGAAGATGTCCAGATTGCCTCAGTAAAAGAGCTGATGGAGATAAAGCTGGTTACCATGTCATCTGTAGCTGGTTACCATGTCATCTGTAGCTGGTTACCATGTCATCTATAGCTGATTACCATGCCATCTATAGCTGGTTACCGATGTTCCAAGGTTTGATACCATGGGTAACAGCGCCAAAGACATCGTTAGGTGTGCGGAGTTGGCAGCGTGTGCTCCCTCCGTCGATGAGAACAGCTCCCACATCCCATAAGACGGCAACTTTAATAGTCCCTGGGCGCTTAGCTGACGTGGAGTGGTTTGTTCCATTCAGCAGAGATATTACACTCTTCTCTGGTTGGTGTTCGTTCCTGGAAATGTGTTAACAGGCGCACCCCATTATCGATTGTATATTTTGAGGCACCGATATAACGTGGATCTCAAAACGAGCTGGCAGCGGCGGTGGTGCCTGGCTTTTGGAAAAGTTTTAAGTCGCGCAGGAACTGCAATGCCACTGCAAGTGGCTGGCTGCGGCCAATAACACGGAGGGACACATCTCAGCCCGGGTCTGTTAATTTCAGACACAGACGCCAGTGTAGGGGACAGCATATGCACATTAAACAGTGCATACGCTTGCCGCGCCCATGCGGTATTGAGCGTTCCGTGTTCCACGTCAGATCTGACTCAAGTCACGCTATTCCAGCTCCTCCTTTTCTCGTTTGGGGAAAGTGGATTTAACATCTGTGACAACCACTTTGCTTTCGTTCGTTCGTTTGCCACAAAATAGGAGGGAGCGTTCTACCCGTCTCGCTGTCTTCCGCGTCAAAAGTTCAGGCGCGTGATGACGGAACGGCCTCGAGTCGCGACTGGTGAAAGTAATCTGCACGCATAATCACCTGACTATTCGGGGTAAGCCCATGCCAGCATTCCACACCGCCTGCGCGATGTCAATACTTGTCTGAAACCATCACTTCGTCGTGATGGCAGAAGGCTGCGAGATGATGCTGTTTACGGGAACAGTAAGACGCGCCAAGTCGGATTGCGTCGAGAACAGCTCCTGGGAGGAATGCAGCAAGGCTAACACGCACGACAGAAACGCTTCGGGAGTTGCATCACGCGAACCAGCTCTTTGACGTTTGCTGCTTAAAAGAACAGTTATTGAATGCAAATGTGTTTTGTGGTAAATGGTGTGAATTGAAGCCCGTTGCGATATGGTGCGTTTCACTAAATAAGATTACGCACATTAGTTACTCGTTAATGGACGGCCACACGATGGTACTTTCGTAACGCTCATCGATAGAAATGAACGCAGCATTAGAAACCGCAGTCTGCTGAGGACTGAGCCAATATTTCTACGGAGGGGATATGATGTTGGACATGGGGCCATATCATTACCATGATGGACATAGGGCCTTATTGTAGTTCTGCAAGCCGCCCCTCCGGCATTTTCTCTTCATCACAAAGGTTCAACGACTTTTCCTGAAGATGGCATTTCAAAGAACAATCAAGAAAATCAAGGAAACTGATCTTCAAGTTACCGAGGGGTGATGAATGATCGCATAGATATATAAAAAGTCATTGGAATATAGGAAGAACAAAGGTATCATACACATCCTAATGACGGCAAATGCTTGATAGTTATTTCTTTACTAATAATTCAGGGCATATAAGACGGTGTTAACAACCTTATTCCTCGTAGAATAGCCACGAAATGGAGACAAAGATGCATTGATATTTCGGCTGCATGCCTTTATCGAAACGAATATCAGTAGTGACGACTGATATGGTCCCGTGCCGAGACAAGTGAACGACTGACTGGAATCGCAATCCGTCTATCTTTCCATTCTCCTAGCTTTGCTTCGAGGAATAACTAGAATCGTCTTATTGACAGACATAATGTTCCTCGTAAATGCACTTAACAGCTTGCCTAATGTATGGCTTATCTAATGCTGCTTCCTTTCAACATAACAGCTCACAGTGTCGAAAAATAGCATGTTGTTTCGGGTATACCTATTAGACACGCTGAGCAAAGGATCGTGCGCTCATTGACGAAGCGTGCCAGCATGTTTGCACAAAATCGTCAAAGGAAACGAGCACGCACACCGGGTGCGATGATAAATTCACCGCACGTAACGCCACGCGTGCTCCTACGTACATGGTGGTGCCGACCGTCAAATTCCTGAAGTCCGAAGCCTCGAAGGAGCGGGAGATCCGGCTGAGGTCGCACATCCGAGTCGTGGCGTCCTCCGACCGATGAGACCACCCGGGTGGCCTGGGCCACTCTCACTGCCTTACGCACGCCAACTTAGCCAACTCTGCCCCATCAGGGAATGGAGAAAGTGAAAATTAAATCGTCCCAAAAGCGGACGGCTGCGCTAATTGACAACGAAGATGGAGCATCGCACACGACAGCGGCCTTCAGAAATATCTAATAAAGGCGGGAGTGATGCAAGACGCGGTCTTTATCATAGCCGATGTCTTAATCTCAAGACAGAGTGCTCTGGGACTGTGCAGGATGAGCAATATCATCATGTGGAACTGAATGCTCGGGCAATTTCAGAAC